AGGCAGATTAGCGGGTGAAAACATGGTTGGAAAAAGTGAGTAATTTATATGACATTAGAATTGATTTCAGAACGCATGATCCACTTACACAAGGTCTGATAAGATGAATCAAAACAAAAAAGTTATTTTCTGGCTGCTGTATGTAATTTTGGCGCCATGTCAGGTCGGATCTGTATAATTGGTTCATAATCAAAACGTAGCAGAACAAAACCTTTACCGGAAACAAAATCTTTGCAGAACTAAGAACTGCCTATATGTAGTCAGAAAGACACAATAGTAATGGCATTTTCATAATATTATATAAATATTTGTTGCTAGAATTTTTGCTAAGTGGTTGCGCAAACTTCTTCCATTTGTGTTTTATTTAATCACACAGATGAAGGGAGCTGCATTTTCATGCCGTGTCCGTTCGCCAAAAAGTTATGAGAAGCTTTCAAATTGCAGAAGTACACTCAGAGGTTTGACATTACCTGGTGTCCTGAAACTCACTAATTCAACAATGTCCCACATTTGTTCAACAATGATCCCACATTTAATTATAATTTTTGTACATGTCGACGTTTAAAGTACAAAACCGCATATATTAGATTTGCTCACACAAGCTCTTGACTGAATCCTTATCCATTCGTCCTGAGATATACCAGCCAGAATGCGATTGCTTTATAAAAAAGAGAACCATTTTGAAATATGAGTGTTTTTACTCTCTAGAAAATTATTTATGCACCTCACATACGCGCTTTTTCACTATCTTGTTACGCGGTTTAGTACTTTAAACGACGTATGTATGTATCTTTCATTTGTGTTTGTCTATTAATCAACATTTTTATCCCTTACAGAAAAGGCCTATGCGCATCAGAGTATGTTTTGGTCTGACTTGGGTCCAGAAGTCGGTTACGAAGGCATCGGCCTTGTTGATGCTTCTTTGCCCACTGTTGGTGTTTTTGCACTACCAACACCAAATCCAGAAGGTCGCACCGATAATTTAGCTCAAACAGCCGGCGAGAGTGGCGGCAGTGGGGATACAGTAACTGTGAACACGGAAGCACCGGACGTTAAGTGTGATCCGAAAGATGCTGAAGATTATGGGCGTGGGGTTATTTTCTATATGAAAGATGAAAAGATAGTGGGTATTTTATTGTGGAACCTCTTCAATCGTATTGGTTTGGCGCGGACAATTATCAATCAGAATAAGAAATATGACGATTTAAATGAAGTTGCGAAACTCTTCGAAATCCATGCGTAGTTCCGAAAAAAGCGTAGATACAAATCTGTAATGTTTAATAATAATTTGGTTAGGTAAAAATGTTTGTTACCGTTAGTTGAATTACACGTGTAAATTTGCACTTGGGTTAGAACACGCGCCAACACTCAAGTCAATCGCATCCACTATAGAGCTAAAAATAATTTACGTCTGTTGCAATTAAAATTGATTATTATGCTCTGGTTGGGTGCCACTGCCACTGAGAAGAGGAGGAAGAAATTCTAATGCAGAGTCGGTATAATTTCACAAATTGTCTAGCATTTAAGCTTTATTTTAACAAAGCGGTAGCACGAAGTCTTAATTAAAACCAAATAAATACTTACAAAAACGACTATTATCCATTTTTAAATATATAAGATCACTATAATTTAATCCTTAAGATATTAACGGGAATTTTTTGAGTGCTTGAAAAAAAAAATTAAACGATACACAGTAAAATAAGAAATTTTAATTAATAAATTGTTAAGGACTATTTTTACTGTGCTGGTAAATTCTTGTCCGCCAACTAACTGTATTTTTGTACTGAAAATCGACAGGTTAAAAAGATCCTGAGTGACCTTAAATAGTAGTTGAGAATACATCCATAAATGTCCAATGCATTGCCCAACTCCAATCATCGAACCGATATCAGCATTGCAGTCTTTTGGCGAACACAACTAGCCCCTCAGGAAACATGCCCCAAGCTAGCTAGATCGGCGTGGTGGGCTTTATGATCTGGTGACTTAAAGGCCAATAGCTAAGTCAGCATCCGATTCGTTCATCAAGTCAGCGTGAAAGCGATGCTTACGTGTACCACCTAAATAAAGCCGCCATCATAGTTTGATGCCCAAAAACTTGGGCACGGAAAAATGTCGTGGGACATGGGCAGCGTCTATCTCCGGCTGAACAAAAGGCATCCTAAGGATGATAATCAAAACCAAGAGTAAACACTGCAAATGTCTGACGGTAGCTCTCGCAAGTATGGATTTGTATCTACGCATCCTCTGGGTAGCGACCAAACACCCGTTTGGGCGCGAGCTAAAGTGAGAAGGCGTAAAACCTCGTGGTTTGGGTCCCGCTCAATGGAAAAGAAAAGAAAACCTCAGATAAGATCCTCTACTTTTGATGACGACCACGGCAAAAGTATAAAGGGCTATCGGACTCTGATTGGATGGGAAAGCGGCCTCTGCCCGGCTGGTTGATGTCCTCGGGAAGACAAAGGCTGACATCACCGCCAACCAAGCAATGCGGGCTTGTTCGAGTTGCAATCACAACCGCAGTGTTGCGCGAATTATTAAAGTATCACATTCTGTGTGAATTTCTAGCAATGTATTATCAGTTGGGCAGTTGCAACAATGTTGCCATTTTTCATCAGTACGGCAGTAATGCCGCTTTTATTACGTGCCTCGAACAGGCCCTGCGTTACATTGTGCAAGGCAAGGTAAGCGTAGAGCCTTGCGACGTCTACTACAGCGGCCACGTAAAGGAGCGCGAATTCTGTTATGGATTTGTTATAAGAGAGAGACTGCTTCGCCGAGTACTGGCGTTCACCCTGTTGGACGAACGTCTAGCCACAATCCGCTTCAATTCTTCAGCTAGATTCTTCAATCGCCCTCATTGCGAGAGCCGTGTCGAATGCAAGTCGTTTTTCGAGAGTCGAATCGTATCTTAAGTTTCACGCCATTGCCTAAAATTTCCACTCGACTAGTGTATTAAAGTGGGAAAACTTGGCAGCACTGTATAGTTTACGACGATTTTCGTCGTTTACTTATTTCAGCACGGCTGTATACAATGCCAATATTGTCGAGTCGTACAATTGAGCCTAATTTACGACTTACGCAATGAGGCTGAATATCTCGCTCATCTGTGCGCTCAAAAAAACGAGAAACCAAATCGATCATTTTGTGATGGGCGGAAGGCACGCTTACAGTATTTAAGACGTACGTACACTGCGAGGGTCAAACATCGACTCGGACCACTATCTTGTTGCATCCACGACACGCACCTGTTCTGCAAAAAAGGTGCGCCCAAGGAAAGCTTAACGTAGAAATGCAGCAACCACAATAGACGGCCAATTTATTCGCCACTCGACTCTCAGACCTGCTCTCTGAGAGCACCCTTCAACAATCCGACATAAGCGGGCAGTGGAATCACATTTCCCGTTCATTAAGTACCGCCGCTGAAGAAATATTCGGATTTTAGCTTAGCCCAATCCACAGGAAAGGCGACCCCGCCGTACGCGCCAACTACCGCGGGATCAGTCTTCTAAGCATAGGTTACAAGGTCTTATCGGGTGTATTGTGTGAAATACTGAAGCCCACCGTCAACAAACTGATTGGGCCTTATCAGTGAGGCTTTAGAACTGACAAATCCACCATAGACCAGATATTTACGATACGGCAACTCATGGAAAAGACCCGCGAGAAGAGGGTCGACCCTCACCACCTATGTATTTGTCGACTGCAAAGCCGCTTTCGATAGTACTGAAACGTAAAATAAGGTTCAGCAATACCACCTGCTCCATCAAAATTGGGAAGCACTTCTCCAAGCCGTTTCGACACCAAGGACCTCTCCGAGCTGTTCAGACAAGGTTCATTGGCTCAGAAACGACTGGTGTGCTGTTTTGGACTCGACCAAAATCGCTAAGGAGGGTAAGTAATACAGTTATCCAGAAATTCGGTACTTAAGAATAGCAAATTCCGTTAAGTTTTTTAATCACCTTTCAAAGAAACAAAAATGTAGATTGGGTCTTTCATTATGAGGGTCACGATAGTTCCGTTCCTCAACTTTTCTGGAAAAAATTTTAATTTGCTTTGACAATACAAAACAGCGGTTGGTTTGACACTTTTTTTGACTAGCAAAAATTCTTCTGGTAAAATTTTGCAACTCAAGTCAGAATTCTGACAAGTAGAGAACCTCGTTTACTCCCTTATTTGTCCTCCCATTTGCCGGAGAATCGAGCACGGGAACACTTTCTGGTAAATTCTGGCAAGAACTTGCAACTTCTGGCAAGTTCGGAAACGTACCTGATATATGCCTTTGGTCAAGTAAAACGTAAAAAAAAACTCTCCAGGCGTTTCGGTCAGCAAACATTCAGCTGATGGATTCAAAGTCTAATCTAAGTCAAATGTCTAAAGTTCCGAGGCTAGTTGGTCTATCTATCTATTTCTAAAATAAAAGCGATAAGTAAGACATCGTAAGTTTCACAGGAGGATGTTTCTTCGTTTAGCTGAAGGTATTTCAAAATAAGAAAAGAATTTGAAAATTTTTCATGTTCCAATAGAAGTAGTAGAATACCTCTTCTCATAATTCGGATCCTTGGATTCTTGAAGTAATTTGTCACTGAGTTTTCTCGTTCTATGCCGTTTGTTTTGGAACACATCATTAGAACCAACATTTCCAGTTACCGTTTTGCATTCCTGCAGAGTAAATGACCACTGATTTCTCAAATCTTTAAGATCTTCCCATCAATGGCGGCATCTCTGGCTCGTCAATTTTGACTCCTGTTGTCAATTGCGATTAGAATTTTGAGGCAAAAAGAGGTCTTCAATATACCTTTCACATCTGGTCTTGTCTCGGCGGTCAGATCCAATATATCTATTGCTCCAAGGTATTTCCTTTGTAATTTTTTTTTCCTTTGTTTTAAAGCCTTTTCTCCTGCCCAAAAAAATCTCAACAAGTATTGAATAGTGAAATAAAAATGTGCAAGAATTCTTGTATGAAATAGGAGCAGGAAAACATGGAAAATGTTACTCATACGCCATATCGTATATAGCCGTAATAGTGTTCGCATGAGGCGATTTTTGAGGCAACTTTTAGTTGATTCAACTAATCGGTTCAAAATTATCTGGAACATCGCCTCATGCGAACACCGTATGAAAGTTAGAATTTTTTTCATTTCCAATGAAAACTAGTAGTAGGGTTACTTCCGTATTTCAAATGACTCCCAAATTCTCCTATTGGGGTCAAATTCTGTGGTGGATGTCTACCTCGGAACGACGCTTGCGACTGCTTGAAGTCATTTAATTTTTCATCTTCTTTATGATTGCTATCGTGTTTTTGCGATGTGGAAGCTCTTGACTGCGTTGAATGTGGTGTTTGTAGTAATGTGCTGAGTCGATACTTTTAAGAATTGATCGTTACTCGGTACCGAAACGTTTCGGGCTTCCAATAACAACGTATGTAGAACGAAAAATAAAAGCGGTTCAGAAGAGCCTAGCCCAGGGGTGGGCAAGGCCGAGGCCGAAAAAAAGCCAATTCTAAATGCTACAAAGAGCCACAAAACTTTTAATTTTAATAAAATTAAAAATAAAATTATGGGATTTCATTAAATTCTTGCTAACTGATCACGAGCAGTATATTTTTTTTAAGCAGAAGATTTCATCAGTCTACTCAAAGATGTCGAATATGATGAACCTGAAATTTAAAGCATAATCTCAAAAATGGGGTTTTTTGCATTCATTGGATATTTTAAATTCGAAATTTGTAGAAGTTAAGGGTGATACGCTAACCACAAACAAATTTTTTTGCAAAATCGGATGAGTAATTTAAAAGTAAATTTAGACCAAAATATTCCGCCCTATCACGAATTTCATGTGAACAAATATTCACAAAAAATATAAAGCAAAACAGTAATAATTTTTCCCAGTTTTTGTTTTGCATGTTAAGTTATGAGAATTATAAAAAGACTTTATTTGGAAAGAACATTCTTTAGAAATAGATTTTTAAAACGCAAGATTGGCATTCAAAATAAGAAAATGAAAAAATAACAACAAAATGCTCTCGTGATTTTTATTATAAAATAAAAAGAACAATTCCGACGAAGTCTCCTTTAACATTATACATTTTATATATTTTTAATAAAAAAGGTGCGAACCCCGTAAGTAAAAAAATTATCAAGCACTGTTAATGATTTTTGATTTGAAATATTATTAAATTGGTATAAATGTGGGAAAGAAAATACTCCAATTTATTGTTTTAATATTATCAGAGTGGCAAGACCGTGGAGAATACCCACAACTTATGAAACTTCAAAAAATTTTATTATCCGTCAAAAGTTGTTTATTGAAACTACCTTCTTTTTTATATCATGAGCGAGTGTTTTCTTTTTTTTTCAATGAACATACCATGATAAAAACATTACAAGGTAAATTCATTCTCTCAATTCGTCGGCCATGATTTTGTTCTGACGTTTGCCAACATTTTAAAATCATATAAAATTGAAAATAAAAAAATTAAATTGTTCACAATTGTTGTTGTTTGAGATTGAAAATGAGAATGTGTGTGTGAGTTTGAGTTTTGATTTTAAAATTATATTGTTGGCAAACGTCAGACTGCCTCTCAATGGTTTTACCTTGTTATGTTTTTATCATGGAACATACTTTTACTTTTATATTGAAGAAAATCACAGAACTCCTCTTGAGTTCAATTAATTTTTACTTTTGCATTTGTCAAAGTTTTTTAATTATTATTATTTTTTTTAATTTTATATCCTTCGCCGAGCCCCTGACATTCAGCCGGGCCCGA